AATAAATAAATATAAATAAATAAATAAATAAATAAATAAATAAATAAATAAATAAATAAATAAATAAATAAATAAATAAATAAATAAATGTTTGGTTTAATGAGCTGAGGGTTAGGAGACTTTATGCAGATAAAATAATAATGGTACTTTTGTGTGTCTGTTATGTGTGAATCAATGTAAGCTTATAGTGGAGATATCACTACAAATTGGCAATTATATACTGGTTTAAACGATGTGGTTTTCCACCAGATCTTGGAAATTGTAGCATGGTAGCTATATTGAGAACAGTGTTAGAGAGAATGAGCTGAGGGTTAGGAGACTTTATGCAGATAAAATAATAATGGTACTTTTGTGTGTCTGTTATGTGTGAATCAATGTAAGCTTATAGTGGAGATATCACTACAAATTGGCAATTATATACTGGTTTAAACGATGTGGTTTTCCACCAGATCTTGGAAATTGTAGCATGGTAGCTATATTGAGAACAGTGTTAGAGAGTCCTAGCTCTTCCTCCCCATGTTCCAGATTTTCATTTTCTTTTAAACCTATTTAAGTCTGGAGGATTAGACAAGGTATCTGCAAATAGAGATAGATGCCTACTTCAGGCGTTGTGTTTCTTGCTTAGTGGCCAGCTGTTTTTGCAATTGAAGGCCACTTTCCAAAGAACTTTCAGATAATACCAGGGATTCTGTTGCTCAGGGTTAAAAATCCAGATGGGTGCACACCAACCTTTGGAATTGCCTTTGATTTCTATATGTAAGCAATTTGTTGCACTGCAGCTGTAGCTCAGTTGCCATACAAACAGCTGACTGTTTGTATGACATGTTAATGGCCCTGTCTTATTTCTGTAAGTGGCACTTCGCTACTTGTGAAGTTTTTGTGGGATTTTGGCACTACTTGAGTTGTTCCTTTATGAGACGTCTTCTTTCTAGATTCTGTGCATCACAGTCGGCTTCTTGTCTGGCCAAGCTCTTATTAGTACTGGGTTGAATTAGCCTATAATTCTGCTTGTTTACTCTCTGTCCTCTCCTTCTTTCCTCTGTGGCTAAGAATGCTCTTATGTGTTCTCTCATAATTCTCTTGGACCACAAGTTGTCCAGGAGGACCACTCTGCTGGGTTTTCAAATTTGACCCTCATCATTTTCCCCACAGCCAATCAGGACACTGATGTCTAGTTCTGAATAGGATGACCTTGCAGGATGCCCATAGTCAATCATTGTACTTGGTTTAAAATTTATATATATTTCCATGCCTGCTTTTCAGAGAGTGAAGGAAATCATTAAGCAGGAATTGTCTGTGACACTGTCCTTGTTATGTACCTTCAGATTGCATCTCTCCTATGGCAGCCTCATGAATTCATGATCTCCAAAAGCTCCTGTCACTAATTGCCCTGTTCAGGTCTTGCAAACTAAAGCTGTAGTTCCTTTGCTGGGCCTCCTTCATGTTAGGTTCTCTTTGTTTCTTGCTGCCTTACACTTTTTCTAGTTTTATTGAGTTTTCCAGTGAATCTGACCAAAGTGAGAATTCAGGATTGATATGACCTGAACCCATTTATTTGCCTTTCTGGCAGTCCATAGTATTCATAAAGCTCTCCTCCACTACCCCATTTTCAATGACCGAAAATAGGTAGAAAGACAATACTTATTTTAAATTCATTACTATCTAATTCATGTTTAAAGGCGGAGGCTTGAAAGCATTCAGAGATATGAATTGTGTGTGTGGTTTTCTATGTGTGAGGTGCATAGAATTCCCAAGCTCTTGCTCCTTTTCTCTTCAGTTGTTATTATTTCTCTATTTTGTCCATTTTTTAAAACTTGGCTTTCTGAATGCATAAGAGCAATAGCAGAGTGCATGGGAGGATGTTCAGGAACCCAGTTGTCCTTTCCTCCTTCTTTCATTATTGCTACTTTTCAGTTTGCTCTGCAGTTATTGTTAAGTGTCTTTCCTCTTCTGTGAAATGCATTGTTGGTGAAAGCTACATCAGAAAAACTGTAGGCTTAGAAGAGTGTTTTTGTGCTGTAATATAGATTAGAACTCTCCTCCTTCTGTTTTCTGAGCATGATTTCGAAGTTCTTGATAACTTGGGAGTTACTCTATTTGTTGTTGCCCTTTTTTAACCCCCCCACTGGCTTTCCCTTTTGCAACCTCTGACTGTCGTTATAATCCTATTGTGCTTAGCTTCACTGCCATCAGCGCCACCAGCCTCAGTGGTACCACTCACCACTGACTGATATAAAACTATACAGTACCTTGTTTCCAGAACACATTACTGAAACAATTTTGCAAGATTCCTAGGTGCTTGTGTTTAGATTCGAAGGACTAAAAGTGTAAACTAGTCTGGATTAATGAGCTGTATTTTGTTTTATATTTTGTTTTAGATTTTAACATCAAAGAGTGATTCTCACTTGAAACACCTTTTGCAGCGTGCACCTGAATATTGTCCAGAATCAATGGTAGGTGTAATTGTGTTTGGTAAGGTATAAGACTAAAGCCAAAGGCAAAATAAAAATGTAGAAGTAAAATATTTGTGTCTTTTGTTTCAGTATGTTCTCATGAAAATTTCATGTCACCCTAATAGTGTGTTCTTTAGACAAATGTTCTGAGTGCAAAGAACTGGGATTTGTGATAAAATGAATTTGCTAAGTCTTTATGACGTCAGTGTTCAATTTTAGAGAAGTAATTGATTATGCTGCATTTGTGATAGTCAATGGTATTATTCTAAGTGTTCAATCTTGGTCCAGAATTGTATAACAGAGAGAGTGCTACCGTAATGTTTTAGATTAGAGTACCAGGTGTTACATACAGCACTGATGTTACCTGTCTGTCATGGGTTTGGAGGGAAAGTTCCATCCTATGGGGAGTGGAAGGCGGGACATCAGGAGGAGGGGCTGTACTGTATAAATATGTGATGCCTGTGTGGTGAGAGAGATGCCGAGAGACACTGGGTTGTGACGAAGCAGCAGCTGGGAAGAAGAAGCTGTTGTGGGAGTCTGTGTGTCAGACAGGGTACTACTGTGTGTCAGAGTACCAACCTGATAGGTTCAGGTGTCTGTTGGTTAGCCAGAACTGATAGGTTCAGGGTCTGTGCTTTAAGTTTTCTCAGCATAATAAGCTGGTCATAATCTTCCCCACTTTGCCTTAATGCTCATTCTATGCTTATTCTTTCTGTAAAGTCCTTGTGGCTAATTTTGTCCTCACTCCTGTTGCACTTTTGCTGCTCCTTATGACAGTCCCAGTGCCTCAAGGCACAGCCGCCTGATGTACGGCCCTTTGCAAATATTGCTCAGGAAATGGGAGATAGGTGTGAAACAAGGCACTGGGACCAGATATGTGGGAAACAATTGTGGGGTGGAGATTTGGAGGAGGGAAGAATGAGGAACTGCAAAATATCCAACAGCTACAGTAATTAAGGCTAGAAGAAGGAGAACATCTTTCTGCTCTGCCGGCAGGCTATTTTTTTTTTTTCCTTGCAGGTGACCAGAAAAGTAGCTAGTTGCAAGAATGTGTTTCTTGCATGGTTTGTCTTCTAAATAAGTAATCATGTTACTTTTGTTACAGTCAGTTTCACTTTGTTAGTGTTCTTATTTTATTGATCTTCCTGATAACTGTTGAAGTGCTCATCCAAAGCATTTCAGTTGCCAGAACTGACAATACTACACTAGTTAATAGACTTCATAAAGATTCCTGGTTGCTTATTTATTATGAATAATAAATATACATATTATTAAGGATATTTATTTAGCTTTCATTTATTTTTACAAATGTCCTGTTATATGGTCAACCTTTTAATCACATAATTTTTTTTCAGGGAGACATTTGGGGGTGCATAAATTCTTCTTTGCCAGGTAAGTGGTATTGCAGAATGTAGCTTACCGAACAGTAAATCCTAATGGGCCTAACATCTGAGTAGACATACATAGAATTACACTTATACTTTTTCATACTTCTACGTTTTCTACAAATATACAAAAATTACAAATTGAGTTCAGTGGGCATTCAAATTTAATGATATCCTGGCTCTAGTGAGCAGAATTGCTATGGTGGCTAAGATAGGCCAGCAAAATAATAACAAAAGAGGGTAGAGGAGGGATGGAGTGAAAGAGGCATTGAGTAATACCAAATCCAAATTTTCTCCAGCTGAGGGACACAGTTTAGGGCTAGAGGGATTTTGATTTATCACAGTTTTAGCTGGCCTAGCGTCAAGTCATCTTGGCTACTTAGGATTGCATCATAGTTTTAAGACAGTACTGTATTTTGACTATTTGCAACTTGTATTTATCATAGGTCTATTTCCCACAACAAAGATGGATTGATTAATTAATCGTAATGGCATGAAATGCATGGTTGGCATGAAGAGACAACCACTGCAATTTACATTTTTTTACATCAGCAGAAATGTCAGTGGTGAATTGTTGCAACTTAAGTTCCATGACATGGTGTGCAACAGCAGATGCATATGCTTATAGGAGTTCACCACTGATATGTACATTAACTGAATTATATCAATGAGCCTAACTACTTGGATTCTGGCCACGAAGTTTTGAATGCATATTCAGATATGAAACCCAGGTTTGTGTCCTTTTTATGCTTCCAGTTAGGTTGCCAACTTACCATAAACTCTAGATGTATCAGAGTATAAATGTTTGTTACGCAGTGGCCAGGATCCTATTGGCACTTTATGCATCTGTGAATAAAATCGCAAGAGTTGCAGAGGTGAATAACAATCAGTAAGGAGCTAGTAGTATTCCTTACTTCACCATGCAACTCAGTGTGTGGCCAGAACTATAAACAGTACCTTGTTAAGTACTATGCAGGGATGCTGGTAAGTCTTTGGACTTGAGTCCCAAGTCTGAGTCCAAGTCTTTGGCACCAAGTCCCTAGTCCCAATCCTTGAGTCTGAGCCCCAGGTCTCAGACAGAGAGGGGAACATGTGCATGCATATGATCAGAAGCAGCAGTTCTGGCTTCCTTTTCCGGGGCAGGCACTTGCCTCTGTGCATGCTTAGAAGCAATGGGCCTGGTCTCTGCCCCCCTTCCTACCTGCTCCTGCTACCGCCACACTAAGCCCACCCCCACTCACTCCACTGCCTACCTGCCACACCCCTCTGCCTACATGCTCCTGCTGCTGCTGCACACCACCGTTTTGAGACGCAAGTGGTAAGCTCAATTTCCCTTCCAGGAGCAAGGCCTGCAGCTTCTGGGCCCACCCAGAAGATAAAGCCAAGTGTGCCACTTCTGGGTATGCTCAGAAGTCTGTGGGCCTGGCTCCTGGAAGGGAAATCAAGTCTGCGGCTTGCTTCTAAGGACAGCAGTGTGTGGCAGAAGCAGGAGCAGGTAGGTGTGGGGGAAGGGGCGGCAGGGGAAGAAGTCGAGCATGAGTCGTTGGGGGAAAACCCCAAGTTAAGTCCAGGTCATGTCATTGGTGTGACTTAAGTACAACTCAGGTTGCAAGTTCCCGTCCCTGCCACCATGACTTGCACAACTTCACTTTTTTATGTCTAAACCACTAAGAGCATTTGGGCTAGTATATTTTAACCTACTCTCTTTCTCACCCTATTGCAGTGCTATGTTGAACTTTTGTCTTTATAAAACAACAACTTAGAACTTTTGATGCTTAGTAACATCAGTAATATGGGAGAAACCTATTTCAAAATGAATATATATAGGATTGAGGAACTTGGGTGCTATAGTAATCTTATCTACTACGAAATAAGTCCCACTGAATTTTGCAGTCCTTCTTTCCTTCCTAAATTATTCAGCACAAGTCCTGTTAGGCTTGGTATAGAGCCAATGAAGCCCTTTGCTTTCCTTATTTGGTATACAAAGGAGTGTTCCCTTCTGTGTGGTCTGCTACATCACACTGCCATGGAACATGCATAGTAATTGTGTTGATATGTTTTTTGTAATTTTTCTTTAAAGGTGTTTTGAAGAAATCTGATGGCTGGGTTGGCTTAGGTTGCTGTGAATTAGCCATTGTTGTTGAATGTCGACAGGCATGTAAACAGGTAAATCCTTTTTTTCTTTGTGGTGTTGAAATCAAAGTTACGTAATTCCCTGGACTTTCCTTTCCGGCTCTTTTGTACAATTGGGTATTTGACTATTTCCAGTTCTGTGGTACCTTTTCCAAGGTTATATAGGTGATTTTTGATCGTTTTACCACTTTTCCCCTTAATCCGCCCCCCCCTTCACCATCTCTTCCCACCTTTTATGGCCCCGACAGGGCCATTTAAGATGTGCACTTTGTGCACTAATAAGTTGTCTGTTTCTGACAGCCACAATTCTTGTCTTCTTTGTTTGGGAGAATCACACCAGCCAGCCTCCTGCTCCTATTGTAAAAACTTTACTAAACAAGCCATCAAGCTCCGTCAACCACACCATAAATCTTTCTTGTAGAAGCAATCTCTTCATCCACCATCCAAGATGGATGAGACTCAGGCTTCACAACTGCCACTGGCTTCTTCGGTTATTAATTCCCCGTTACCAACTCCTAAATCAAAGCCAAAATTGCATTAGTCAAAGTCCTCCACATCAACATCACAATCGAACCCAACACCAAAAACTACTCTGAAACCAATTGGTACTAAATCAGAGAAATCTAAAAAGTCTTCTGTAGACTCTCAATTGCCGCTACGGCATCCTTCTTTACAGGATCAGCCACCTATTGATCTCGATACCAACCATGAATCCATTCCACCTCCATCAGGCCAATCGCCTTCTCCTTTGGTGGCTCAATCCCTATCCTAGGTGGACGCCTCGGCTGAGGTGACTGTACTGTCTTATTTGGCCTGTTTGAGCCCCAAATCTTTTGGTTGCTCTGTGTTCGGGTGTGAGTCTGGATCAATATCTGTTCCTGTTGATCTAGTTCCTTTGCGGAAGAAGAAGACTAAACTCCACCACATTGAGGACACCGGTCATTCCGATACCATTCTCTCAGAGCATCCGATACTTTCAGGACTGTCAATATTATGAGGCACTCAGGCTCGACATCATCGGCCCAAATGAGTTACAGTTTATGAGCCTGCTGTCTACTATGAACTGCCACCTAAACGGTATCGACATCGTCCGCACCGGTATTGACAGCATGATACCGAACGTTACATTGAACCCAAGCGTTTTCAGTATGCATACTATTATCCTTCGGACTTTTCGGAGTCCCTCTTGCCTCCTCGATACTGTTCGAGCTACTACTACAACCAGTCGTCCGATGATGAGAGTGCTTCTCCCACTTCGGTACTGAAGTTCCATAAGAAAACTCACAAACAGCATGCTTCAGCTGCCCCGGCTCCATCGACTCTGATACCAAAGAAACCAAAGCCATGGGCCAAGCCGTCTGTATCACTGGCTGATATAGCTGCTCTTTCTCAGGATGGCTCATCATCCTTACAAGTCACCATGACTTACAGTGGACCCCCACCCGGTACCGTGGACTCTAAGAAACCTCAGAAGCATAAGCCAGATCTTTCTGCCCAATCGATACCTGGCAAGCGCGTTACTGTGGCTCCTAAGCGCCACCGGCCAGATGCCCCTCCTGATACGTTAACCTCTTCAGATCAGCAGGGTTCCTCGCCTTCACCAGTGTATTCTTCAGACTCTGAGTCCTCTGATTCCATGGCCTTAGAAGAATCAACCCCCCCCCAATCTTCTGATTCCGTTGTAGCTGATGCTAACCCTCCAACACCATCAGAGGATTTCTCCTATTCTCAATTAGTTCTCTGTATTGCTAAAGCCATGGACCTTGAGGTCCAGCAACCAACCCAATCTGAATCTGACAAGGTATATGAGGATACTGAGGATCAGACACCCCCACTTCGTATGGAGTTCATTCTGTGGGTGCTCAAGCTTATTAAGCAGTCTTGGGCCAAACCATCTTCAGTGCCTCAGATCTCTCTCAGAATCGAGAATCTGTACAAGGCCCATGGTACTAACACATGCTGGTCACTCCTCATCAGGTACAATGCCTCCTCGGCCTCAAGGCCCCCACCATACCCGTTATTCAGCATGCCCGACTGAAAATGCGCTCGTTACAATCTTAGTACCTATCCCTATTCAACCCGCTTCTCCACCCACCCATTATGCTTCTACAAGTCACTCCTGACCTTGAATCTCAGCTGATTTGGTGGATCACCCTGGCCAATCTTTTCCTCGGGTGACGGTTTGCAGCTCTCCAATTGGCAATTCAAATTACAACTGATGCCAGCCCTGTCGGTTGGGGTGCAGTTTGTGAGGATCTTTGAGTTCATGCCCCCTTATGAAAAAACTCTCCACATCAACAACCTCGAATTGCTGACAATCTTCAAAGTGTTCCACACTTTCGAACCACTCATTACAGGCACCACAGTCCAGGTGACCACAGACAATATGACAGCACTCTACTACATCAACAAACAGAGGGGTAAGCACTCTTGACCCTTCCTCTATCTTGCTGTCCAGTTTTGGGAGTGGTGTCTGGATCACCACATTTTTCCTATAGCGGTCCACATTGCCACACAACGCAATCAATTAGCAGACTCCCTCAGCAGGCTGAGAAGACATGGTCTAGAGGGGCGGGGTATTCCACATTTTTCTTATAGCAGTCCACATTGCCACACAACGCAACCAATTAGCAGACTCCCTCAGCAGGCTGAGTAGACATGGTCTAGAGAGACGGGGTATAAATTTAATAAATAAATAAAAAATAAATAAATTCTCAAATGCCCGAGTGGTCCCTCAATGACACAATTTTTCTCCAACTTTGCAGCAAGTGGGGTCATCCCAATAGAGATGTTTTCACCACAGCAATCAATGCCAAATGCGCCCAGTACTTTTCCAGAGCGGGCATCGGACGAGCATCTCTTGGCAATGCTCTCATGGCGAGTTGGACCACACGCTTCCTTTACCTCTTCCCACCGATACCACTTCTCCTGCAGACCATCGTCAAATTGAGACAGGACTGCTCAAATGCCATTCTGATCGCCCCCTGGTGGACGAGGCACCCTCTTGTTCACAATGCTCACATCCATGGCCTCTCAATCCATCCATCTATCTTGCCTTCCTCACCTGCTCACACAGCATCATGGGCATGCTTCTGGGAGGACGGCACACTAATCTCTCTTCCTTCACACCTGTATTTGTAATAATAATAATAATAATAAATTGAAAAAATAAAAACTACTTCAGAAAATCAGTGTCAGACCAAAGGATCTTTAAAAAATACTCGAAAAAAGAAAAGAAAAAAAAGAGAAACAAACAAAAGGGGTCCAATCTACTGAGGCAAGCAAGCAAGCAAATTATGGTGAAAAATTACAAAGTTCCCTCCCACACTAGAGTGCCAGAACATTGTGAGGTTTCTTTTCCCCCATCACTAGAAGCTTTTTAAAATCTTTCCCTAAGTCCAATAGACTGCAGCAGGCAGGCCGTGTAGGCAGTAGAATTAATTCAAGAAAGGAAAGGACCTATAGGCAGTTTGGAAATCTCTGAAAAAAATATGGTGAAAAAAATCCAGAAAATAATCCTGAGGCACACAGACACAGGCAGGCTGCTTGGTGACAACAGAAAAAATAATCCAAAGAAATCACTGGGATTCCTTCACAATTTGACTATTTGTTTTTATGTAATAAAAGTCATATCATGCCTTAAATGGAATAGAAAAAATGTAAATAAATAATACTGGGTTTCCATTAAGAACATGCAGTGGTTTAGATCATTTTAGAAGAAACAAAATGTGTTGATGGCATTTCTGAGTTATCCCTGATTTTTGTATTTAATATCCTATTAAGCAATTATGTTTTAGAATACTTTGGAGTGTCATGTTGGTGATGAAATGAATATTTTTCAGGCATCTTCAAAAAATGGTATATTGAAAATTTGCAGGAAAGAATATGAGGTAAGTATATTACGGATTGTTCCTTTTTTTTTCCTTTGGTAGTTCTTAGGTTTCCCATTGGCAGACTGTAGAGCAGGAGCGCACCATTTCAGAGTTGCTAAAGAATACTTTTCAGATTTGTGGGCAGCCGGAGTCTGTATTGAGCAAAGGGCAGGGTATGACAAAACAGGATGCATGTTTTTAATTTATTTGTCTGTATATATAATATAATACACACATACACATACATATATGTGAAAAAATGGGTTTTAGGATAGAAATATTGTGTGCTATATGCATGTAATGCACAGTGAGCCTAACAGGGTTTTCAAGGTAGGTGAGAAATTTAAGGAATGTTTCTACCAGTGCCACATAGCCCAGTGAATTTCTGTGACTCAATATGGATTCAAACCCTGGTCTTCAGGGCTCTAGTCCATTACTCTAGCCATTATACCACATTGGAAAAAGGGAGTTTGCTAAAAAAAAAAAAAAAAAAAGGGAAAAAGGAAAAAGAAAAGAAAACACATTATGCCCTCTAGTGGTAAAAAAATAAAACTAAAACTTGGTGGGTTGTGGAAGCCCTTAAAACTTGAAAAAAAATATCCCCACAGAAGAATTTGAAAGGATTTTGAACAATTTTTTAAAAATTGGGGCATGGGAGGACAGAGGTGCTTGTGGGCTGTAAGAATGGCTCCAGAGCTGCATTCTGCCTACCTATGCCGTATAGTCATAACAGTTTCTAATTTCAGTTGAATTCCTGCCCCAACATTGCAGATGAGATATGATGCTTGCTCCAAGCGGACTGGTTTGCCAGCTGGTAGCCAGCCAATTTCCCCTTTCTGGGATCCCCTCCTGTCTTGTCATATTAATGACAGTTGTGCATTGCATCTAGACCAGAGCATTATATCTAGACTGCATTTCCAGACCCGGAGACTAAAAAACAAAACAAAAAACAAAAAACGGGTGCAGTCATAAGACAATCCAGTTTCTACAGATAATAGCTTTTGTGGGTGTAACTGTAATGTGAATTCATACAGTTGATTCACATGCATCCTTTAGCATGTTCAAAAAAATGTGAATGCTGAGGCTAGTGGTGCATGCACTTCTCTTGTTGTTCCTCCTCCCACTGGAAACACTTCCCTGCTCTTTGGATATTTGATTGGTGTGATAAAGGGCTAGCTGTGTGTAATGATGTATGTGTGTGTGGAGCTCCATGCGAGGAGGGATACTGGCCCTGTCTTCCCCACATGAAGGAGACATATGTGTAGATGTTAATGCCAAATGAATGGCACATGAGGCTAATCCCCACAACCCTGTCCCTTTCTGTACTACTTATTTATTTAAGAATATGTTAATACTGCTTTTTATTTAAAACATCTCTAAACTATTAACAATAAAATAAGAAACAATAAAAGTAATAAGTAAAAACTGATGAAACAATAAGAATAATATCCTTTAAAATGATGTATTAAAATCATGCCTGGGCAAATGGACAAGTCTTTAATTGATAGCAGAAATACCCGACACTAACAGGCACCTTAATGCTATTTAGGAGACGACCTGAAATAGCGGATACCACAACAGGGAAATCCTTTCTCTGCACCCCAAGCAAATGATTCTAAGTAATTTGAATTAAATTAATTGCACATGAGTCTAATTCTGACAGACTGCTTTCTCCCAAATGGGCTGTCCCTGTCTTTATGCATCTAACCAGCTTGACAGAGAAGTTTTTATTCAGCAAGCTATATACTACAGTATAATATACAAAGCAATCATGTTGTCTCTCTGACGTAATACCAGATGCAGGCATTGCCTTATAATGAAGAAGATTCTTGCTGAGAAAGCTAGAACTGTTATGAACAGCTCCCTCTGTTTGACCCGTCTAGTCGAGGTTGGTACTTGATATAGTACTCAGCCAAGCAAATCTAGGTCAAATCACTCCTTCAGCTAACCTCCCCTGGGTCAAGGATGCATGCCATGTCAGCCCCCTCACACCAGTGATTTCTTCTCAGTAATTAATTGAACAGCCAGATATATGGAGATAGAATCAGGAAGGCGAACAGCCTGCAAATAACTACATCATTTTCTTCAATAATAATCTCTTCTCCATAGTATACCTCCCATTGCCCACAGTCGGAATAATAATGACAACACTGAACTTGACCCAACACTCAGCTCTACCTTCTACCATGTACCAGTTCAGTAGCCACAGAGCAAGAGGTTGGTATTGTTATTTTAAGTAATACCATAGAGCAGAATCGGGCCTTTTCCACCCCACAACCACACACCAGTTCACAACCTCAGCTATACAGTCGTTCACACGTAGTTGTTTTCCTTGTGACATCCAGCCTCTTATCCCAGCCACCTATCTATCTCTTACTTTCACCAAGAGAATGATAGCGTGTCAGACTAAGATTTAGGAACCTTGAATTCAAATCTCTGCTTAGCCATAGTAAGCTGTCTGAGAGTGGCCATGGTAAACCACTTCTTGAACATCACCCATACCTTGAAAATCCTGTGAGGGTCTACTTAATTTGGAAGAGATTTGATGACTTGTAGCAACAGTATAATGAAAACAAGAGCCCTATTTGTGTTTGAACATATGAAACCAAGTGGGTGTTGGAGATGTGAGCATGCGTATAGGTGAACTCTGATAATGTTGGATTACTGATTATGTGAGATCTGTAAATGCATTCACCAGACACAATTACAGAGACAGCGTCAGAGTTACATGCTCTGTGACACTGCCAGGTGTCTGAGGATGTTTGGGGGCTGAGTTTGTGTTCATGCTCATGTCTCTCCTGTCCAGTTAGCTATTGAGATATTCAAGTGAATTTCAGAACAGTTTCAGTGAAAATAGAGAATTCTCCTTCTGGCTTGTCATGCCTCCACATTATTCTTTCATGTGTGTGTGAGTTGTGGGAGCAATCCTGTGTTAAAACAGGAGAGTGGAAAGAAATTGCCATGGAGAGAGGTGTAAGAAGGACTGTTCAAGATCCATCTGGTCTTACATTTTGTCTGTAACAGTGGCTGGAGGGGGGCAGTGGGGAGTTCAGAAAAGTGGCTTCATGTTAACAAATGATAGTCTTCCAGGAACCTCCATCGGATTGTTTTTAGATCTTTGAATCAAGTTTTAAAGTCTTTATATCTTATACTGTCGAGTTACATGGAGAAAACTAATGGATGAATGAGGGATTCTGTCCCTAGAGACCCTGAAGGATGTTCCTAAAAGTACTGCTTTCTCTGATGACATAAGTTAACAATTTGTTGATTCTGTTCTAATGCAAGACCAACTATTTGTTGAAATATTTATATTGCTGTTTGAATGTGCCAATAGAAGAAATAGTTGTAAGGAAAATGTCTCTTATTCTAATGCTTTCTATTGCATAGAAGATTTGTTGGCAATGAATTGTACAACTTTGTACCAAAGTGCAAGCTACAAGTAGTCTTTTTAAAACAGCTATTGCCAGATATCTGATTCAGAAACAATTATATTTAGTTATGTATAAATAGAAACAAAATTTTCAGGAATCTGTATCTGGTATATACCTTCTCTTCAAAACAGAAATCTCTTAACATGCTATTTTATCTTATCTTTCCTGTCTGTAAGACATCTATTTTAGGACTTTCCATGTTTTAAAATCCATGTGATCAATGGATAATAAATTTGTCATAAGAGAATTGTGTAAAATATAAAATGGAAACCTATGCTATGCCCATGTTCACATATTCTTGGTTTATATGACCTGTCCCCAGTCCAAGGGCCAAGAGTAGAAATTCATGAGTGATTGATTCTGCTTTTAGTTACTCTTGTTGATAGTTAATGGTTTCAGGAACCAAAACTAACCATGATTAGCTCTTAACATAATTTGTCATGCCAGATAATACAACAAATCACAGTTAACAAAAGAGAGAGAGAAAAAGAAAAATCTTCCATAATCACTCTCCTGATTATATATGTATGTCCAAGCTTCACTGCAACTTTTCCTATTCAAGTGTGCCATGTAGGAACTGGAGAAGACAATCTTGTGGCACTCTGACTGGACCTAGTAGGTTCAGCCACTATAAGTCAAGGGTATCTGAAAAGTCATAGGTTTTCCATCCCTCTCCTAAGCCATGGTGTGACATGACATGTGAGCAAATACGGCAGGCACAATCTAGGCCAAAGACAGATAGTATAAACTTTTTATACTGCTTTTCTAATTACTGTAAGGTATTTGTGCCTCCTTTAGACTTCAAGGTTGAAACTTCCTGTTTAAACATTTATTTTGCATTGTGGAAATTGATTGACCTGACTTGGTGAGTAACTGCAGTAAAAAAATCCCGCACAGTATCCAAACATGGGGTTCCAACCTTGGCTAGACTTTTTGATATAGGAAAGGCACTATGTTGATCCTTCTTCGCACTTTTGATCTTTTTATTATGAGATAAATGCCCTGTTATTTAAAGACCAATGCTATTTTTAGGGATCAATTAATTATCCTCCTAGCTTGCAATGTTGAATGTTGTCATTTAGAATTATATAGCTTTTCAGTGTATCAACATCATGTTTATTTTATTTTCACTTCCACAAAAATCAGCATTCTGCACCCACTAGGCATGATCACTGGGCAATACTTCCCCCTCCTAGTTGTAGTATTGTTTTTCTGCAAATTTTCTGTATTTTTGAGGTTCTTCCTGGCCCCAAGATATTTCTTGTGGCTGGGTGGTAGTATTTGGATTTGATAAGTATTTGCACTTGAAGAACAAAGATTAGTTATTTCCTTTCAAAGGAAGATGTTTCTTCTTTCTCTAAAACCTTTAGCTGCTAGGATTTTGATAGAGATTTCCGTTTGGGGATCCTGTCATACTGGGAGTTAGAAGGCACCCTCTAGCTATTCTTTCTTTTTTTTCCTTGAAAAAATTTCCACAGTAAGAGAAAAAGACAGCATCTGAAGAAAACAAGGGAGGGTGACAGGTACAGGATGTCATTCATCTGAACTTCCTGTAGGCGTCAGAACATGAGGCAGAATGATAACTGT